GAAATCTAGGCCACCTGTTCTGATGTAGGCTCGTAGTGTAAACACGGCTTTAGATTTCCTGGCCTAGACCAGGCTGAAGTGTGTTTACACTACAAAAATCTAGTCCAAAGCTAGGCCAGGCTTAGGCTCATAGACGTGTAAACACGGCTTTAGATTGTATATTTCTGGTTGGTCTTCATATAAATTCAAAGAATATTCATACATGTTTCGTTCAACATTTATCATTTTGTGCCTGTCTTTGAGGTTTATATATATTCTATATTCATAGATGCACACCATAATCATAGAAAGAGCACTGCCTGATTGCAGTAAAGTTTATAGTTCGACTATGATTTGTCTGAGGCTCTAAGTCATTCGCTGGTGTTGCTACGAATGCATGAAATCGCTACTGACGCTACACCTATGCTATATATTTCCAATTTGATTTAGAAGCTTTATAGATTCAGTTACTTTACCTCTTACGATATTTCAACCACAGCAAATGGACAGCGAAATTGCTATCGCTTCGTGAACTTTATCAAGCCTCCATTTTCGTCCCGATTTATCATGCTTTTTGCCTCAAATATATTCATGAATCGGTTTAGGTTTTTGTGCTGTCTATTCCAGTATTTTGAGAGTTTCATCAGCCTTGTATTTACATCTATGTGCCGAAATTTTTGCCTCTCTTGCAATGCGCTTACTCGCAAATGGCCACCATCTTGAATCATAAACTTGAAAACGTACAGCCTGTACATTTTCAAGTTTGCTATGCGCAGAAGAGATGCACATACGGTGACACTGCTCCTTTAATAAAACTGTCTTTAAAACGATTCGTCTTCAAAACCGGCAAGTCATATTTTGAAGTGGACCTAAGATTTATATTATTTGAATTTAGTGGTGGTAGTAAATGCGCTAATTTATGGTTATTGTTAATCGATACAGAGTTAAAAAGTTCTCTGCATAGTCTGTCTCTTCTATCTGCCTAGGATTGTAGGCCTGTTAATTTTAACGCGTCACCATAACGTTCCTCTGGGTAGAACATGTGAAGAGCTCGTTTCTGTATTCTTTCAATTTGATTAGACAATACTCTGGCAAATTGCTATGAAATGTCTGGCAGGCATATTCTAGAGTTGATCGGATGCACGTACAGTAGAATTGCACTAAAGAATTTACGTCCACACCTGCTCTTTTTAATATTCTTAGAAGATATAGCCGCTTTGATGCCTTATGGGTAATCTCGGTTACATGATCATTCCATTTAAGATCTTCCCTAATAGTTACACCAAGAATTTTTGCAGATTGCATGACTTCAAAAGCTAGGTCGTTGACAGTTATTGGGTCGTCTATATGTCGATGTCTAGTAAAGTCAATGCGGAGCTCTTTACATTTCAGAGAATTTAACTGAAAATTATTTTCGTTCGACCAGCAATTTACCTGATCCACCTGTACCTGTAGTCTACTTGATCCGGTTTTTGGGATAATTTCGGAAACTGTAGTGTCGTCTGCAAATTTCCACAAATCAGAGGAGTTACCAGGTATCGCTAAATCATTTATCATTGCTAAAAATAGCCAAGGACCAATCTTAGTACCTTGCAGAATTCCAGCTGGAACTATTTTGGAAATTGAAAAGCAATCCGAATTAAGCTTTAGACGCTGTGATCTCCCACGTAGAAAGTCAGCAATCCAATTTACAACTGTCGGTTTGACTCCAAGGCTAAAAAGTTTGGCAATTAAAATATTGTGGTCCACTAAGTCAAATGCTTTTCTGTAATCCAGAAGTGCAACCCTGACGCGCGAACCAGTGCCATCCGTGTTTTCCAACCAGCGATGTAACATCGAAATTAAAGCAAAAGTAGTACATGAATTGGGCACGAAACCAAATTATTTGGATCCATTGCTTTCAGCAGCGTAGGTCTTATTTCCTGCTCGATGATGCATGACTCAGCAATCTTGGATAAAGTTGGTGTTAATGAGATTGGTCTTAGATCTTTATTGAAGTCTTCAATGGCAACTGTTTTTGGTAAAGGTGTAACATTGGCCAATTTCCACACACAAGGTACTTTTGATTCCCGAAAGGATGCATTAATTATGTTTGTGATGGCTGGGGATAATATATCGGAGAATGTTTTTAAAACCCAATTGGGTATACCGTCTGGGTCTCCCGCTCTTGATATGTTGATCTGCCGAAGTTTTTTCGTGATTGACTCCTCGTCCACTACAATTGGTTCATCATGGTCCGTCAACACGCATACGTCCTCCGATAACGGCGTTACATTACACTAGCAAAGGCTTTCATAATTTCATTAGCCAGATCTTGATCACTACTCTCTGTATTTGTTCTTAATATCGACCGAATATCTCTTCTCGCTGCTTTAGACGTGCCACAAAACTGCTTTACTTCTCGCCACCAATCACACCAATCACGGGGTTTGGTATGCTGTAGATCTTGTACCTTGTTCTTGTAGTATATCATTCGACACCTTTTCCTCTCACGGTTAACTTTGTTTTGCAACAATTTATAGAGAAACACGTCACCCGGGGAGAAGGCTTTTTGTCGTCTCTTTATAAGTTGTTTTAAGTTAGCATTCATCCAAGGTTTATCCATTTTGTGGACTTTAATAGAACGCTCAGGCATAATCGTGTCCAAACCGTATCGTATTATTTCAGTAAATATATTCAACTTTTCGTCGCTAGACTGGGCTTTAAACAGCAGGTTAGTCCACGGGATCTTCATGAAGAATCGGCCAAGACTTGCAATTGTGCTGCGTGTTTCTTTGGACAAATTCTAATAGGTTTCCTTTGTAGTTTCGATCTTTCGCGTACTTTTGGAAATGCAGTAATAGTTATATGATCTGACAGCCCAAAGGGAGGATTTTTTGTTGGAGGTTGATAGTAGTTCTGCATATTTGTATATATTTGGTCAAGAGTGTTCAAACCTCTGATAGGGAAGTTTATTGTAGGCTTTAATTCATAGCATCTAGCTGCAGTTTTGAAGCTTAGCTTATTGAAATCCCCAGCCAGTATTATGGCACTGTTTGAAAATTGGGTCTTGACCATCTCTAATGTGGACTTTAGGTATTCGCTCATGGTCGTATTATCAGCGTCGGGTGGATATAAGCAGGCGACGATAATATTCGAAAACCCGCGAGGTAAACGCCTAGGGCGTAATAATAGCCAAAGTACTTCATGTTCGTCATTGTGAAATTCCGATAGCATTTTAGATTCTATTGATTCTTTTACATATATACAGACTCCTCGATGTGCTCGTATTTCGCGATCACGTCTAAAAAGGCGGTAATCCCTAATTTCTATTGGCCCGTCAGGAATTGAATCTCTTAACCAAGTTTCACTAAACATTGCGATTTCTATATCATGTTGTTTTATAAAAAAGGAAACTTCATCAATTTTTGGCACTATAGACATGCAGTTTGACAATAAAAACGAAGGAACAAAACAGAGCCTTTTTGTCTTCAGGATCGATTCACCAATGTTATTGCCATCGGCCTCCGCTACATTAGTCCTGGCAAGGGGGGAGGGGGGAGACTAACAGTCTTATTAGGATTGTTTAAGTCCTCAAAGCTTGGCAAACAAAAACCAGATAATTCAGCCAATCTTCCCTCCTATCTTGGTAAGACGGTGGGTGGGTTGAGTGCCAACTTCCACGGTGTTTCCGGAAGGGAGGGTAATAATTCCGAGTGGGAAAATGGTAATCGGTGTAACTGCACTTGTTCCCAGGGTGAGAAGGAAAATTGTCCTTATTAATCTTTCCCTTTTTATTCTCAATTTCCTCACTTTGTTTTCTACTCAGTACTTCAAAAAGCGGTAGGTAATTTAACCAATTTGAGGATTTCGTATGCAAGTTTTCAGGTTGTTGGGACTTTGGTCGATCCGGTTGTTGTTTTTGTTGTTGTTTTTTTTGCGCGCGACCTTACTTTATCAGGATTTGCAACGGGCACAGATCTAGCTTTGTTCTGTGGCTTTGTATGGTACTCATTATTTGAACATCGTTCTGGTCGTCGTTCTGAGTTTGCATTTCAATTGATTTACCTAATTGGGTAGATTTAGATGCTGTTTCTAAATTTATACACATATTTGGAAGTGTTAGTTGATCATTAATCGCTTCAACGGTTCTAATTCTATCATGGAGTGAAGCTATTGTTTCATTGAGTTCGTCGATATTTCTCTCTCTTACAAACAAAGCTAGGTCCGATTCGAGTCGATTACTTTTATCCTTTTCGCGGGAAAGATCATGTTTAAGTTGGGATATATTGACATGCTCTCCTGCAAATTTGCTAACAACAGAGTCCAATTTAATCTCGAAATTCTTTTGCATAATAACTAACTCGAGTTTGACCCCTTCGAGTTTGGCGGTCAAAACTCCACAGTTACAAGCACAGTTAGTTATTCAACGCAGTGTGTTCCGTCTGGGAAAGTTTATTAGTCAGAACAGGAGCCAGGCGATGAACAATACCATCTTGTTTATTTTCAAACGGGACAGGGGCATCAATAACTGCTTTTCCATTCTTATACGGGACAGGGGCATCAATAACTGCTTTTCCATTCTTATACGAGGCATTAGGGCAGCCAAGCGCGCTTGTAGTGTTTGATTGTGGGTGTTTAACTTCATCAATACAATTGCCCTTACGATTTACTGTATTTTCGACATCCCTCATAGATGACAACTCGCAGCGATTGATTAGGTTTTCCTTTGCTTGTTTGCCTATTTTGCCATTAAATGTAAGAGTATTCAGTTTACCTGGGTACCATATTGTACTGAAGTCGGCGTTTGCAGCATCAAACTTTTTCGAGCTTCCTCCGAAAGACCGCCATTTCCCGTCTAAGCCGAAAGCAGCTTCGATAAAAATTTTCAATGACTCATAATCTTTACACCATTTTACCCTTGTTCCGTCGTTCGTAATACTCTCTGATTTAATTGACTCATTTATAATGTTGGAATCCCAACTAGCAGTGTGATTATTAACACTTATGTTGGAGCTTCCGTGAACGTCCGCCATGCTGTAAACACTGATTAGATGACAGTGGTATCTTTTTAGCAGGTTAGTACAGTACAATCCCGTTATTTCGAACTCTTAAAGGCAATGCGGAAGTATTCGAGCTAGCAAGAGTTGCTATCAATTTTCAACCAAAACCTTTTAATGATTTCATTAATTTACTAATGGTTTAAAATTAATATTAATACCTGCATAATTATTAATCTTAAAAAAACATTAATAATTCA